AATAATAATAATAATAATAATAATAATAATAATAATAATAATAATAATAATAATAAAACAAGAATCAAATAATACAAATACTCTAAATTAAAAATGTAAGAATACATAAAGGACAAAAATAAAAATATAGCTTTGTAAGGACTAAGTACATAAACTAATACAACTTTTACTATAATAAACGTGTAAACGATTATATTTAAATCTTGAGCAAATCGGAGCGATAGAACAAATTAAAATATTTCGGGTGATATTTTGGCCTAAGCAAAAACGTACATAAAAACAAATTGTGATCAAAAATTTAAAAAAGCAATCGGAAATAAACGATAAAATATTATTACAAGTATCAGTTTTAGACAAATTAAATAAAAAGCAAACAAAGAACCACAACAAAATAAGCGAAAAAATTATGAAATTACGATATCGCGATACGCAACGTGTGCCTTAAATTTCGGCCTTAAGTTCAAATTATTTTCAATAAACCATAAGAACTGTAGTATTTAAAGTATAATATACAATATAAGCCCCCATATACACATACATATGTTGTCGTTCATGAACAAACTATCCTAATAGCCAAGTTTTAGGAATGCTTATAATTCCAAGGTGAGTTCCATGCAAATAATTTTAGAATACATTTTTGTCATTTTTATTATTTTTGTTATTAACATCATATAAGAATAAATTAAGAGTCGAAATAATACAATACAAATTAATGAGGATAAGGTCATTTAAAGCTCTTTTTTGCCGTATTTCTCTATAAAATAAAGAAAAAAATAATTAAAGCCGCATTATAAAAGAGTAATGTGGGTAATGTGGGACTTTTTAACATAGCATGTTATCCCGGATATCACAGAATAAATCGAGCTAAATGTGAGTGTGTTCCAGTCGTATTTAGAAGCTGCATTTACTGTTACCGCCTCCTTAGGTCTCTCTGTTACTCCTATTAATGCCGTAGCTACTAATACTGCTGCTGTTCATTAAAAAGGCTCTAAGAGACGAACGCAGAGCCAGAGACAAAACCAGAACCAGATATAGTTCCAGTTCCAGTGCCAGTTCCAGTAGCCGGTTCGCAAGAGTAAACCTTAAGAGAGGACGCTCGTGAGACAAGAATCGTGGCTCTGGCGTCGACGTTGACGCTGGCGTTCGCCACGAAGACGTTGTGCCATGTGACGAAGATGGCAGGGAACCTGGGCCACGAAGACGTTTGACTTACTTTGCTCTGCTGCTGCGAACATAGCAATATATAAGCGGCTCGCGTTTTGCTTTTCCTTTTTGTTTTTACCGTTAAGGTTGCTGCTGTTCCCAAGTTCTATTTCTAAGCACACACGGACGTGTATATGTATATGTATATATCCTGCTTGCGAACCGTCAGCGACATTCATATTTATTCTTGTTCGAGGCAGCGACAAAATTAGTTTTTCAATGACTCGCGCGCTGCCAGGTTATCCTTATCTACCGTCTCCTGTTCGGAACTACTAAATATAGGACTGCTCGCTAGCCAAACTGAGTCGCAAAACGCGTCAATTCCTCAAAAACACTGTAACTGTTAACTGTTTCGATTTCGGCCAACGAATTCCATTGCATAAGGCATGTGTCGCTTTGCAGATTGTTGGCGGCTGCACAGATTAATATGGTACCGCTGTGATCCTCAGCATAATCGGAACTAAATCGAATTTCGTAAATCGCACGAGTACGTCCTCGAACCACCCAACCAAAATAGATTAGTATTAAATTGTTAATCATTCCTAAAGTATTGTGTGCGTGTGTTCTGCGGTGTGAAACTAAAATATTAATATTATTACTTTTCTTACCAGACATTTCATTTATCACTTTTTAAACATATACGAAAAAAAATTGGAGCTATTTCTTATAGACCTCCATGTTTTATGGGTAATTTATTAGCTTATTTATTATTATCATCATTCCTAAAGTAATGTGTGCGTTGTTGTGCGGTGTGAAACTAAAATATTATTATTATTACTTTTCTCACCAGACATTTAATACATATACGATACAAAATTTGAGATTCGTTTAGCTATTTATTATAAACCAATATGTTTTATGGGTAATATATTAGCTTAAGTTATTATCATTTTTTTTTTATTATTTTTTTTTATATTTGTTTCTTTTCTTTATTTTTCATGCCCCCTTAAATGCGTTGAAATTAATGAAGTTATAAATTGTAATTTGATTGTACTTTTAAAATTATTGTTTTATATATATATACAACTTCATTAATTTCAACGCATTTATGAGAACATGAAAAATAGTATATGGATCGGCGATATCTATTTAGGAAATTAAACTGAAGCGTATAAGACTGTGAATTGTGATAATACAGATGTAACTATCTTTTAAGACCTTTTGAAAGAAAAATTTCTAAGCAGATGTATTCAGGGAGAAATTAAAGATGTGTCATAAATACAACAAAGATAGTACAATGATAATAATTGTAAGCCAATACCATTTCCAATGTAGTTAAAGCTCCAGTGAAATATTATTTGCATTTGATTATCGATACTTTATCAAAGTTATTAAATTGAACCTTATCGTATCATCTACACATGATCATCATCTACAATGAAAAAGAGAAAACTAACCACAAAATTAGAAGATCCCATCTTTACAACAACATTTAGAAAATTTTTTTTTTATATTGTATGGTTAGTAGCTCCATAATTTGAAAAGTTATGTCTCAATATTCCTAAATATATACATCAACTCTTAATAAGATGTTATTTGTATTTTGATGGGCAAACATAATAATGATAAATGATCTAAAAGTTTTTTATTTTTTGAACACGACATCATTAAATCTCTTATCTTATCTTATATGTAACTAGTTTTGTTTACCTGATTTTGTTAAAGATCCTTGCCACAGATCCAACCCAGCCCTGGATCCGGAGGAACTGTTATTTCGATCACAATTGAAGATCGACGAGTGGCTACTGCGGCAGCTCACCAACGGCCAACAGCAGCGCCGCTGAACCAATCTCCGGTTGAAGGAAACCGAAACGGAAGCGGAAGCTGAAGCTTTAAGTAAGGCCATTACAAATGTTTAAAATGGATGCCACTGATTTTTGGCACCAAGCGCGCGTGCCTTTCACTCTGCAAAACCATCAGCAGCAGCAGCAACAACAGCAGCAGCAGCAACAACAGCAGCTACAGCAACAGCAACAGCAACAGCACCATCATCAAAGTACGCATCCACATCCGCAGTCGCAACCGCATCCGCACTCCTTAGTTCCTCAGCAATCCTGTAGCAATAACACAAGTCACCTGCCGTTACTAAGTAAATTGGAGGAGTCGCAGCAACAACAGCAGCAATCACCATCACACCAGCAGCAGCACCATGTCGATCAGTGCTATAGTCGTGAGGCATTTGTTGTGCAGCAATCGCTGACGGTAACGCCAGCAGCGCCGTCGGCGCACCTCAGCAATCATCATTTGCTATTCAATGCAGCCGCTGCAGCTGCTGCTGCTGCGCATCTGAAAACCACAGCATTGAATAATAATTCAGCCAGTGGTTCTGGCTCCGGCTCCAGTTCCCGTACCGCAACCGATCAATTGGACAATCCGAGCGATTGCAACAGCGTTAGTAATCTCCTCTCACTGAACACCAAGCAGGAACAGCATTCGCAGCAGCAAGAGCATTCCACCGATCCGCACACAACATCTCAACAATCAGAGCAGGCATATGCTACTAGTTTCTTTGCCGCTTCCGGGGATCAGCATCCGAAGCAGCCACAGACACAGTCACAATCACAATCACATTCACAATCACATTCACAGTCACAGTCACAATCACAGTCACAATCACAGTCACAGTCACAGTCACAATCACAGTCACAGTCACAGTCACAGTCACAGTCACAGTCACAGTCACAGTCACAATCACAGTCCCAGGCGCATCAGCAGCCACACCAATTACACAGCCCGCTGCTCTCAAAGACAATATCGCAAGGTCAACAATCGCCGCAGCATTCGATAACGCCATCTGGCGGCAGTTCTACGCCTGATATTAAGTACAATAACGAAAAGCTAGCCAACGAGATTCAGGTAAAGTTGACAGCTTTAACATAAATATATAGAACAAAACAAAATAAATAAACGAAACATTCAGCTAACAATACGGAATGACCCTGGATAATGTCGAAAATGACAGAAAAAAAAGCAAAGCGTGTAAGAAGAAAGAGTAATAAGAAAGAGGATACCTAATTTCTGATATTCGAATTCAAAAGCCCTTAAGAGAGTTGAAAATGAGAATAAGAAAGTATTTGCTGGGCTAAGGGTATTCATACTCTTCATCCTGCAAGAGCGAGGAGTCGAAGAGAGCTAGTCTCAAAAATTTCCCATATGCTTCCATCTGCTTCAACCTTTACCCCTTTACTTGGGAGTCAGAGAAAAGAGCACGCCAGAAGGGGTGGACGGCGATAAAGATGTGAAGTAAAGAGAGGTGTATACGGTACATGAAGCAAGAACTTGTGCTCTCTCACAGTAGACGACCTTCTAGACATTTTTAATTGTGGCGTTGGTCTTGCGTGCTCTGCTAGCTTGAGAGTCAAATTTGGTCTTGAATTTTTCTTCTTTACCGTTAAAAATTTCGTCGAAGGTGAGAGACTTGAGCAATGCCATCGAATTTCCCCTCTCAAAAATCGAAATTTTCAATTACGTTTTTCTCTGCTCGAAATCATAGGGACGGCAGCGCGAGCTGCTCTGAGACAGAGCGAGAAAGGTAGTTTGAGCATGAAAGGGACAAAATTCTTATAGCCTGCTTAGTTTTTAGGTTTTTTTCTTTCTTTTTTTTGCCAAGTAACCCCAATTCATAAACGTCGCGTTGGGCTATTTCTCCTCCTTTGTTTTTCTGCGTGTGTATGTGTATATATATATATATATATATATATATATATGTATATGTGTGTGAGCTGAGGCTGGGGTGGAATTTAATCTACGAGTTGTTTTTGGGGTTTGGGTGAGAGTAAGTTTAGTTTTATACCACTGCATAATATATGTATGTATGTATGTGCACACACACACTCGCGAATAGTCATTATTCCTGTTCTTGCGTCGGACGCTGTCCGTGGCCACTGCCACTTCTGCTTTTGCTTTGCCTTTCCAGGGCGCATTCAGAGCGCAAGAAAGAGAGCGAGAGCGTTTGTATTTTTGTTCTCGTTCTTTGCTATGTTTTGCCTTTTTTTTAGAACCTAATTCGCGCATTATTTCTTGAAGAAAGCAATAATGGTACAACCACACACACACACACATACACAGAGACTCACACCGATGTCGCCGAGTTAGAAAGAGAAACCTAAGCTGACGCAAGTAACAGTACTCAGAGCAGAGCCGCTGGCGTCGACGGCGACGACCCAGCATAAGACGTTGCGACTGGTATCCCGTTTGAGGATAAGGCGAATCGTCTGCCGGCAGAAGTTCAAAGGACATCGGGCTGTCAGGTTGTGTGCGACTTCGTTTAGCCACAGTGAAATATCGTCATAGAAACAGTTTGCCAGTTGCAGTAAATAGGCGGTCGCGCTCTAAGCGGTATTTAGACACCTATAATTCCAACTTTTGAGTCATTCAAAAATAACCGGTCAATAATCGAATCGCGTTCAGTGACAGCCTCAAAACAAAAAACTTAGCCAAATCAAGTCAAGCTATCCCAACCCAGCCAGAGCGAACTACCAATCGTTACCTTCTGTTTCTTAAAGCCGGCTTCTGTTGCCCTCAGACACACACACAGACGGACACACAAACACATTCATGGACAGGCATGTTGATAAACACAGATATATGTACATACATATGTGTACACACAAATGAAAATAAATTACAAAAACAATTTTCCCACACACATACACCCACTCACAAAGAAAGAAAGTGCGAAAGAGAGAGTGCGTACATAAAAAACATGCGTAAGCTCGTGAAGTAAACAAACAAATAATTTGACAAGGATACCGAAGGAGCTGATGAAGCTGGTCTATTAAAGGATTCCACTACAATTGGAGACCCAATTCTTAATCTGTAGTCTCCACTCATAAATGCTTCTACGTATTACGCACAGGCACTCACTGGCACACATACACATTCAAAAACAGAAGTACAAACGAATAGACGTGCGACAGATGTGTGCGAGAGGCAACAGGAAATACAACTAGACACAATCGACACGCGCCCGGCAAGAAACAATAAAAAAAAAAAATATATATAAAATATATATATATATAAATCATATAAATTGTATTTCAAAAATGTCTAAAAAAAATAGTTTAATTCCAAGTATTCCAAGACATTCATGATATATACATATATAATTGAATATTTGACATTCTTAGTAGATTTAATATATGAGTTAAAAAAAAAATATATTAAATTAAAATTAGTGAAAGAACAATAAATTCAAGCGAAAGGTATTTGATATTATTTATAAAAATTTTTAAATTAAAGCAAAAATAAAGAGACACATTGGTTTACATATTAATATATATAATGAAATTTATAATATGTCATATAAAATAATATATTTATTTTAAACTTTATTTCACTGAATCAAAAAGTCATCAAAAATAAGATTAGTTTGCGGGATGAAATATATTTCAAGACATATATTTAATTTAATAGATTCCTAGTAGATTTTTCGATTTGAATTTAAAAAAAAAAAAAAAACAAGAAATATAAATAAGACGACTCAATAAGACATATTAAATGAGCAGTTTAACCACGTCCACAAC